GGATTCAGTTTACTTGCTAATTGGGCTTTATTTTCATCAAAGACCAATTGCTTAACAAACGAGGCATTTTCTTCAGAAAGATGCTCATCCCACCAAGTACTGCTCTTGCTTTGGAGATTTCTAACGAAGAACCAGATGTTTGTTCTGAAAACAAAAACAAAAACACCACCAAATCATTTTTTTTCTTTTTTGTTGGGGGGGCCACAGTGTTAGGTAATGTCCTAAAGGCCTCAGGGAATGGTGTGGCTTGTGTAGTTACCCTGACATTTCTTATGATAACACTGGGGCTTCCACTTTAATCAAGAAAGGTTAAAGTCTTTTTGTACTCGATGAACAAGCCTACCTAAACACATGAGCGGGCTACTAACCCAAATGAATGTGTATTTGACAGTTTTATATCCAAAGAAGGTGGCAGCATGTGGTGAGCTGAATTTTCTCTTAAGTGTACCTCCTCCCTGTAATGACATGGCCTATGCTAACAAACCAAATATACGGAGTTTTACAAACAAAACTAAAACCCACAAAATTCACAACCTATGACCAGCTGAGCACCAAGCACCAAGAAGGATCTTAGCAGGTTTGAGGCAAAGAACAAGGCGTGTGTAATTCTTTCACGAAGTGGGCCCGAACCTAAATAAATCTTTGTGCAGTCTACTTTGGTTCGTAGTCAGGAAGTTCCAGCTTAGAATCGCGAGTGATTTTCTACTTATTAGCTGAGTGACTTTGGACAAGCTATTTCCCTTTAGTTTCAGTTTTATCTGAAAAACTTTGATTGTAGTCTGCTAAACGTGGGGCTGGCTTACAGGACACACGCCTAGTACGACACTTAATACAAACCCGTCTAGTACAGTCCACGCTGGCTGGAAGATATTGCTGCTGCTAAGAGTCGCAGCTAACAGCTCATTTCTTAAACATTAAAACACTACCCCTTCGAGCCTTTTGATTAAAACATGCTTTCTTGATCTGGGTCACACCCCTGGACCTTTGACACTTTCCACTTAGAACAGACCGCCTGCGCCGGGCCCAGCCTCTGCTCAAGGACACAGCCGTGTGGGCTGCGCACCTCTCCACCCTCTCTTGCCCGTACCCACCTACTCCCTAAGCCCGGGGCAGCACCTAGGCCTCTGGCGCCACAGCCCAGCACCTGGGCGCCGGCCGGCCCCAGCAGCCTCCAGGCCGGCATGGAGTGGCCGGGCAGGGCTCGGCTCGCGACACCTGCGGGCGCGCCGCCGCGGAGCTTTCAGCGAGTCCCCGGCACAAGCACCGCGCGTTCGAAGCAGCCGCCGGACAGCAGCCACACTACTGGATCGCCAATGCCTTCCGCGGAGGAAGAGAACAGCCGAGCCACTTCCGGTCCTTTTCTCAATGCGCTCCGGGCAGAGACTCAATACTCTTAACTATGGTTCCGTCGCCAAATTGCTCTCTTTTGCCAAGGGATACAGTGTAGACTTCTCTTTAGCGGTGGGTAAGAAAGGATTGGGGTTTTAAACTTTAGAAGAACAAGGCAAGAAAGGATCAAACTTTCTTAGGAAGCTAAGGAAAGAGAAGTCACCTCCAAAAATTCCCACTGTGGGACAACTCATCGTGCTAAGCAACACTTCGGCCATTTTATATTGGTTAATCCTAAGAACAGCCCTGAAGAGAAGTTATTCCTTTATTATAAACGAGGGAACACAGACTTAAAATTTATGTGCATTCCAAAAAGAGATGGGCAGAGAAAACACTGAAATAAGGCTGGAGTGTGTTTAACAATAGAATGGGACCAAAACCAATAGACCAGCATGCAGCTTTCAGGGCTGGGCGTAAATAGTACCAGGCAGTTCTTCAACTCGTGAAAGATCTTGAATTTGAATCATCCAAAGAAGAGGTTCGTGGATTTGAGATCAGGTGCGATTGCAGCAGAAAATGGTATTACCACAAAGTTTCCGAGTGATTGGGATGCAGCTACTGAGAGCAATTGTGTCTTCTATGCCCCAGGTCCGGCCCACCATGTACGCCCTGGAGACTCATTTCCCTACTTCAAAAGTCCCTTTCTCGGTCAGATGAGTGTTTTTGGAAAGACGGAAATATCAGTTTTGTCTTTTCAGCCCCTCCCGTCCCCTCCCGTCCCTTCCCCTTC